CTATAAATACCCGCCTTGTCTTCACTTTTGAGATATCCGAAAATTCACAAACAATTCCTCAAATTCTCTCTTCCTTCGTTGCATCTTTGAGTTCGCCGGAATCCCGTTGGGAGCGAAGAACCGTTCTATCCTGGGAGACGCTTGCTACGTGTGTCGGGCAAAAACGTCTTAAGGAGACAACGCTTTTGTTGGGCTCGGTTGATACAAGTATTTTCTTTTTCTTCTATTTATCTAATCAATGCATGCAGATATATACGAATTTTGGATAACAGGAAGAAGCAGTCGGAAAATTCATGGACGGCGGTGAAGTGTCCCTCTTTTGCTTCATCTTTCCGTCCTTGTCTCATCTTTTTGTGGCAGGACTAGAGCTCACGGCGCTATTTCTTATTTGATTGTCAAAAAATTCCAAAATTAGTCTGAAAATGCCATTAGAATGGCATTCTTACACTTCAAATATTTCATATTTTCCTCTCAAAATGCCATTCATATGACATTCTCGATTCCTAATGGCATTCTCGATTCATAATGGCATTCTAATGAAAATATTGGCATCGACGGCGGGGTCGGTTAGATCTGCAGCGACTGAGTTCAAATCTGCAACAGCAAAGCTCGGATCTGAAGTGGCAACGCCGGAATATGCAGGGGCGGCATGCGGCGGCCTGAGGCGGTCAGATCCGACGGCGGCAGAGGACAGATCTCCAGAGACAATGGTTAGATCTGTAGCGGCGACTAGTTCTACGGTGGTGGTGGCGGCCGGCGGTGACCGGCGACGGTGACCGGCGACTAGCGGCGGTCTAGCGTTACTCGCCGGCAGTAAGTTTGGACAAGCTTGAGGGGTATATATGTCAAACCACAAATAATTACTCCTATTTGGGGAAATTTTAATCTTTACTCCTATTTTAGCAATTAAAGTTTTATTTACTCCTATTTAGGTAAATACCTCTATATGATAACTAATCACTTAACTTCATTATGTTATAAATATAAATAATGATAAAATTTAGGTATATATACAAACATGTATAGTTTTATCTTAATTTACAACTTCATTTCTTTATATTCATGACTAAAGTTATAGTACATATATTGCTTGGAAAATTAAAATTAAAAAGTAAAGTAATGTTCGACGAATCTAGACGGCCTAGGCGGCCGATAAGGCACTCTAGGCGGGCAACTAGGCGCCATAGGCGGCCGACTAATTCACCTAGACGGCAAACCAATTAGTCGGAGCGCCTAGACGAAAATCAGGGTGTCTGGCCACCGCCTAGCGCCTAGGCGGGGATTAGTCGGACGCCTAGAATGATTTTTAGAACAGAGATATAAACATATTTGTTAATGTTATTTATTTCAAATATTGATGCTTAGATTAATACTTACATCCTTATAAATGTCCAAAATATTTTAATATTTACGTAGTATATTTTAACGCAATAGACTTACATTTGTGAAAGAAAAAACATATTATGATGGTGCTAAGATAAATATTTATATAAATTTGGGGTATTTTTATAACATATACAAACTTGGAGAGCATACCTCACACCCGTTAAAAGTTTGGGGTATGAGGTATTTTCCGATAATATATATGGACGTTCTTGGTATTAAGTTAAATATCGATTTATTCATTTGTTTTTAATATCGATTTATTCTTAAGTAGTTTGTTCTCAACAAAATGGTAAACAAGTTACGGATCTAAAATAAGAGCAAGACAAAAATTCTTCGGTGCATGTTATATATGTCATTCCAGATGGATCAAACAAAAAATATAAAGGATTTCATTAAAACTAATAGTTTAACTAGACACGATTAAAACTTAGAATAACAATAACATAAATAGTAGAAATAATTACATTAATATGACCAAAATAAAGTTGATTTACAAAAATATGATTAGTTACTAGAGTAGTAATGAAATCATAGTAATTCATGTTCAAGTTCTGAACTTAAGTTACTACAACACTACGTTGTAGTAATGAATAGTAACATTTTAGTAATATTACTCCGTACATCAGAATTTCAAATGAACAAACATAAGTCCAATGTAGTTCTGGACGGTGTTGTCAATCCCAGATAGCGGAGTGTAGTGGCCGACTCCGAAAATGCTATAATGGTATAGCCAATAGCGGGTCATGCACATATTATATAGGCAAAACACATATTATATGTATGCATACAATTACATATCATGCACATATCCATTCCAAGAAATGATAAATAAAAAATATACTTGTACGAGTATATATTATTCAAACGGTATGAAATTTATACTTACTAAATTACCAATAAAGAGGACTCGGTGTCTTTAAAAAAGAAACAAATAATTTAAATGCCTTACCTCTAAATATTAAAAATTAAAAATTAAGTTCCAGACTATTATTGATAAATTGGCAGTCATATCTCATTATGAGAAAATCATGATTGTTGTGATACCTTGAACTAGCTTAACTTGGAGATGTATGGTGTAGGTTATGTTTGATCTTGGTTTCTGTTTTAAGTTATTTTAGTAGGGTTATTTTGTCCCCCACATGATTTGGAGGGTGTAGTGAGGTTTTTTTTACTCAAAAAACATACAAAAGTAAAATGTACTTTCAAATTCCCTCAAACCAACACTGAAATAGCCCAGCAAATGATAGCGGTGTTATAGCGCCCGCAACAACTGCTATTGAAAACCGCTCCGCTATAGGCCAGGCAGTCTCATAGCGCCTAGTCCCCGCTCTACTCTGCTACTCCACTATAACACCGCTATAGCCCGCTATTGACTTCACTAGTTCTGGATAACAAAGAGATTATATTTCAATAAAAAGACAAATATACCTCTGACCCCATTCTAGCTCGCTTCCTCACCCGTTAGCCTCTCTGCCCTCTCCTTCACCTTCGCCTCAGGTACGCCCCCTCCTCTCTTCTCCTCCTTCTAACCAACATCTCCTTCCCTTTCATTTTTTTCAAATCAAGCGATGGCGGAAGCTCCTTAAATCCAACAACGACGAATAGGTGACGATGAAGGAGACGGATCACATGCGATGATTAGGGTTCGATGAATGGGGTGTGTGATGGAGACTTGGTGAAGGCGCTGGGGTGAGTAATAGGAGTAAGTGTAGTGGCTAGGGTATATCTGGTGGTGGGGCGGCGGCCGGGGATTATTGTAGAGGATGGCGAATGAGAGCAGGGGTGCCGGGCTGTTGGCAGTTGATCAAAGAGGTTGTAGAGTGAAGGACGGTGGTGGGGGTGGAGACGAGGTGGCAGGGATGGGGTGGCAGCAGCCTTAGGGTTGTGGTGTTGGTTTGACCGGGTTATAATGTGGGGTTGACTAGTGTAATGTCACTAGATTATCGGTCACTAGATGATGCCATCAGGTAATTGTCTAACGGTTGTCATTGTTGGGTGTGGTAAAAAAGTTATATAACTATACAAGTGTCACTTTTTGGAAAATTTTAAGTCTTATTTTTGTTCTGGATTTTATTCTACTAATATTGATGTCAAAACACCTTATATTATGTGTTTTGTTTTTGCGAGTATAACCGTTTGAATGCCATTTGTTTCTTTATGAATTTTATTACTATTCATTGATCTTCTCTATAAGACTAGTGATCTTTTTTGTGACGCACATAACTATGATTTTGGAATAAAAAACAGATGGTAGTTGGAAATAGTGTTTTGCAAGTATCCAGGACAATTGATTCTTCTTAATATTTGAACTTGTTGAGCATAATTACCAAGCATGAGATTGATCAGATATTGAGATCCAAAGATCCAAAAACAATGGTCAGATATGAAATGAAAGGGGATGTTGACACTCCAACTATTACATCATACGGAATGCATAGAGCGATGACAAAATTCGATGACCCTTGTTATATGCACTTTTCATCCCACTATGCCTTTTCAAAATTTTCATCCGAAGTCACAAAATCTATGTAATTTGGCCAGATAGTGATCTTTTCTACTCTTTTCAACCGAGCATGTGTTTTTCAATTTTGTCACCCTCGTAAGTCACGCAACTTATGTATTTAGCCACATGATTATATACTCCTCCAACTTTTCCCTGTTTGTTTTCCCAAAAAACTTTGCTCTTTCCCATTAAAGTGACTATTTCGTGGTTGTGCTCATTTTTCTCTCCCCTGCAGAAACTTCAACCACATATTTTACCATTTATTTCTCGCCTAATTCAAAGAGTGCAAAGTCCATTGGGACTGAGGTAGTATATGATTTTAAGGATATTTTTAATTGGAATGAAATTACCTCTGATATGGTCTGGTATGATCTGGTTAATTCTGGTCTGGTCTGGTGAATGTCAGCTCTATATGTATTTTATAACTGTCAAACTATGATCAGGTTTGTCCTGATTTATTTAAGTCTGGTCTGATCTGTTTAAGTTACATTTGGTCTGTTTTGGTATGATCTGATATGCTGTTAAGGATGTTTTTAATTAGATTGAAGTTTTATAATTTGGTGTTGTCTGATTTGGTCTAGTTTGGTCTGATTAAGTCTTGTTTGATGCGGTTGATATATGGTTTCTGTGTTTTTTATAACCGTCGAAGTATGATTTGGTCTAGTCTATTTAAATCTGGACTGATCTGTTTATGTCTGATTTGATCAGTTTTGGTCTGTTTTGATTTGGGATTGAAAAACACCACTATAAACATCCTAATTCATTCACGCATATTTCACATCTTTGGAATAGATTGCACCAATTCATTTTTAATTTACCAAGTCATTTTCTTGTCTCAAAGTGCTATCATGTATCACGTATGGTAATGGTGATTTAGCCATCACATATTTAGTAATTTTTTAGGAAAATCATACTTGAATTTATATCATGCTCAAGGTATGGGGCCCCTCTAACATGCGAATGGAAGTATGTGAAAAAGTGAATTGGATATTCTCACCCGAAAACAGTCTAAGAAATTTGGATAACCTCGTAGACATATATGCATATGCATACTAATTTTTCGGAGATGATTGAAAAGTCTTATGCGGAGTTGACTTTACTTTCGCTTTAGGACTTTCCTGTGTACGAAGAAATTCGTTCCGCGGACACTTGGCTGAGTGAAAATGGTGGCTTCGATTTTTTGTTGGTAGAGCAGAGGATCATGTCTATAGCCGGCGGCTTTAACTAGTCACAGGGTATTATTTTTCTTGTGCAAAGAAACTCTCCAGTTATACATAAGAGGTGTTTGGGGTGTTTGGCAATCTGGTGTCTACTTTTAGCTGATTGTCGATTGTATCAGCTGATTGATATGGGCAGATTCTGTTAACCATTTTGACTGACCATTTTATTTGCGGGTTGGAGTAAACTGTTTGATAATATAGTTGTTTATGATTAGCTTTTTGAGCCGTAAAATGACCATTTAAGATACTCGGTATGAATAAACGAAGTATATGTATATATCCAGCTAACTTAACTTTATTTTTTATTTTTTGATGAGTTTTGAAAATGTTGTTTACCAAATAATAAGACTAACTTTTTTTTTTGACAAGATTATATAGTCAAAGTCATTTCAAAAAGTCAAAAATGGTTGAGAGACTGTTTACCAAACACACCATTCAGTCTTTTAATTAGCATATAAAAGAATGATCTGGTCAAATCGGATCAACGGGAACCCGCCGTCCGAACAAACCCGTTTGAAGGCTTTTAGGGTCATTTTTTGTGAATTGTTGTGAGCAGATTTTTAATGAAGTGTAGAACATTCACACAAAATTTAACCTAAAATTTAATATGGAAATCAGTTCAATAAATTATTGACGGTGCTCTTCCCAAAAAAGAAATTATTGATGGCGCTTTATATAATTTATTTAACTAACTTTTATATTGAATTTTAAGCTGAAACTTTATGTGAATGTTTTACGAAAAAATGTTCATAAAATTTCATAAAAAAATCGACCAGAAAAGAACTTAAACTGGCTTGGTTGGAAGACGATTTCCGCCCGTCCGGACTGACCAAATCATTCCGCCAGCTATATACTCCATATATACCAATTTATCCTTTCCCTTATCACAGTAGAAAAGGCCATATACCAAAATAAGAAATTTCATGAAATAAAAGTAAAAATACGTGACAATATAAGGGTATTTTATATATCTTTAAACATGGTAAATAACTTACATCCTAAAATCATATTCATATAGTTAGACATTAACAATTATCAATATTATAGCAGTATTTCTGAACATTGGAAGTAATTCATTTTAGATGGCTTTCGTCAGATAATCAAGAATCAAGATACCGCAAAAACGACTCTAAACTCGTCAATATATACAACTATATCAAGATAATCAAGCTTTTTAGAAAATTCATTCATCATGTCTCCATTAAAATAACGTAATTACGTAACGATATTTTGAAAAATTAATTCTTAACCCTTTCATCTATTTATAGTTTTTATCGACACGGTCATGCCAAAATGCAAAAACGGTCGTTTGAGCTTCCTCTGGGAAGACATTTGATCTCCTTCTGCCCATGCGTCACTACCTGCCTCATCGAAAATCAACTCTTCCTCTTCACCTCCAATTTCAGCTTATCATATTGCTCCTCCATATTTGACATTGGAATCTTCTCAACAAAAGGGTCAATCGCTGCCTTGTTTTACTTCGATGTCGTCGTTGAATCTTGAGCTGCACCTACAGGACCGAAAGAGAAACATACACCAGGCGTCAAAAGAAAACTTATACAAGAAAAACTTATCGTTGCTCCGAGCTTCATTGGGATCTTCTCGTTCCTAAGACCAAGTCACTGAATACTTTGTAAATAGCCAATCAATCAACCAAACCTCGCTAAAAAAATTAACTTAGAGCTATTACAAAGCAAAATTGTGAGCCAAATCCAAAGAATGCCGTACGATGGATCGGGGGAAGAAAAATCCTACATGCCGTAGGGAAGCTCCCACGCTTTTTAAATAATTGTTAGATATTGAATTTTGATTTTTTGATGTAGAGGTACATATATACTACGTATTTATTAGTATTAAGCATTATGGAGTGTATTTATAAACATTATAAATTACAGAGTGCATTTATAAATGTTTAAATTATAAGGACATGCTTGAAAATATATACATACATTTTGTTTTTCTCATTCCATGGCATTGAAGGATTTCAAATTATCAAATCAGTTGAAAATAAGATCATACTCTCTTACGTAGTCTCAAATACAACCCCCATCTTGAATTATAGTCTCCACTCCCAAATTTAAAAACAAGAGAAATAATTAGGGCCTGTTTACTAACCGAGATATTTTCCAGTTTTCCAGAAAACTAGAAAACTGGAAAACAAAAACCAGGAAACGTGTTTACCAAAGAAATTGCTGGAAAACTAGAGAAAGGGAAAAAGAAAAACGCGTTTAACAAATCGTTTTCCAAAACGGAAAAAATGACATATCTCTCTTTTCCTTATTGATTTGGAGAAATGACTTTTACTAGTTTTCCAAATTTGGAAAACGCAGAAGCTACCGTGCCGCTGCAATGAATTTACATACTTACACCTAGTGGTGAGTCCGGTCCCGCTCTGATTTCGATTCCATTCCGGTACCTCCATCCTCGTACCTTACCCCTACCCTACCCACCCAACCCCACCCCACCCCACCCTGCATACCCATTTTCTTTATAACGACCCTACCCCACCCCTACCACATGCCCCTACCTCGGCTCCACCCCGATCCACCCTACCCTACCGCCACCCCTACCACCTCGACCCCACCCCGACCCACCCTAACCTACCCCCACCTGTATATTACCCCTTACCCCTTACCACATGCCCCTACCTCGGCCCACCGCCATCCTACCCCCACCACCACCACCCCCACCTTACCTTTCCCCTACCTCGGCCCCACCCGGATCCCGGGCCCACCCTACCGCCATCCTATCCCAACTCCCTACCCCTACCTTACCCCAATCCCAACCCTACCCACTACCCCCACCCTTACCGCCATCCTACCCCTTCCCTTCCTCGGCCCCACCCTGGTCCCGGCCCCACCTTACCGCCATCCTATCCCAACTCCCTACCCTACCCTTACCTTACCCCAACCCTACCCACTACCCCACCCTTACCCCTAACCACGACACTAACCCACCCACTACCCCCAAACCCCCTAACCCTAGACCTTACCACCCCACCCCGACCATACCCCTTACCCCACCCCCACCCACAACTTCCCTACCCCGACCCCTACGAGTAAGTATGGGCGGGTATATATGAAGGGTTGTGGGGGAGTATGGGTAGAGGGTAAGATCGTGATAAAGGTAGGGGTAGGGGTCAAGGGTGTGGAATTGGAGAACTGGGTGAAAAAATTGATGAACATGTTTTCAGATTTGAAAATGGAAAACTAAAAAATAGAAACATAAAATTAGAGATAGAAAAACTGAAAAATAAAAACAGAAAATTGGAGAACGAAAAACAGAAGTAGAAAACAGGAAAATATCTCTGTTAGTAAACAGGCCCTTATAGTGTTAGAATAAAAAGTACATATACTCAAAGTTCTTAAATAGAGAAAATACATTAGGAAAATATAACACAATGCTATAAAAGGCTAAGAGTTTTGAAAATGTGTATACACATATCCATCAGGATACACGAATTCGAGTTATTAAAAAACAACTAAAAGAACTTTACAAATCTAAAAAATCAAGATGTAATCCCAAACGTATGATACTTATTTTCTAGAATATCAGATACATAAACTTTTCTGATACATAGGTGACTCCTTCCATGTTTTTAATTAGTAGAAATCACTTATATTGAAATTAAACAAGTAACTCTCACACTCAGAGATCAAACATAAGGCGATCACCCATAAAAAATAATTCAAAATCGCAGATAATCACCAAGGAATTAATACTAATGCAGGTGTTATCATAAAATAGTTAACATTATTCAATCACCATAAATCAAAGTGGACCAAAATTTAAAATTTAATACAGCGTAGTAAACATCGTTTAGAACCCGTATGGTGACCCTCTTTTTCGGCTTATCAGCCTTTTTAGCCAATCTTCACACTTGAACAACGTCTCAACTCAGACAAGGATCCTCTTCATATGATCATTTAATCTGATTCCACTGCACAACAAGCTTGGGAATAGTCAGTCGGTATTTTTTCGATAACCAACACTTTGATATCAATCAATTGGCAAAATCGGTTCTCTAACACTCAGCTACAAAGTTTTCAAAGTGTTACCGCTTATTGTCATACCATTAAATGATTTTTGAACAAGCAATCAATGTCGGTTCTTCAGTTTTCATCACTACCTGGTGCTTAGTCTCAACCATGGCCTTCCCAAGAAATGTGACTACTATATCCATTTTAAGTCAATCATATCTCTTCCCTCTCTTCCACAAAGGCGGGTTCAATGTCACCATGAAAAATCGCAAAGCTTAAGCAAACCATAGCTCTTATCCACCCCAACAGTCCTTCCACACCATCCTCAGGAGTCCCTTAATTCATGGATGCAACAATCCTCACGAGGTGGTCATGGGGGTAGTTAGGGAAAGAGTGATGCAATTTTTTCACCAGGCGAAATTTGCCACTTGACATCTCCTCTTTTGGCGTATCAGATGTAACAACTTCCTTGGGTAGTGCCCCCTCGCACAAATCCAACCACGATATGGAGTAGACTGCCACAATCCCGCCATACCTTGGCTCCAGAATTGCAAGCACTCATCCTCAACAAGCTCACTTAGCCAGACTCGTACCACCCGTGCATACCAACATTAAAACCACAACGCACACCATGTCTCTCAACCTGCAACATGATTAATGGTACATTGATGTCGGTGCCCCATTTCACATGATGAAGAAACAAGGTTCTCATACATTTTTAAGTTCAAGCACTAAACACACCACCGTTGTTTGAGATGGCAACACCTTCCCTTTCAAGGGTTTGGTAGGACTACTCTCCCCACATTACCTTCACTACATCTACTAAATGTCCTCTCACCCATGCACCCTCTCTCATAAAATTTAATCTTCATTTAATGGATTATTATTGATAATTCAGTTTCTATCGAGTATGAGTATTTGACCCTATTGGTTTTCTATGGAGGATCCATTGTATGGGTACACAAATTATGAGGTGTAATTTACCCGACAAGTTCTATCAATCATGTCCCCCCCCCCCCTCAAGCAACAAAGCAG